CTTGAATACAAACAAGCCCTACCTACCACTCCACCCCATGCATTGATCAATGCCACATAAGTATACTTTTGACTCCACGTAAGCAAAATTTTGATTTCAACATAAATAACACATACACTTTACATAAACACATACAATTAACACATAACATTAAGGAGACTAAATAATATATAACGTTATAGAAATAGACATAATTGAAAGTCTGTGGTCTTCAAAATCATCAAAGTTTTTTCAAGTTTGATTTGGATCTAGTAGTTGGAATACCTCCATGTGCCACATCAAATAATTTTCAAATACTTTTGACTCCACATGAGCAAAATTTTGACTTCAACATAAATAATACATGCACTTTACATAAACACACAACATTAAGGAAAAAAAATAATACATAACATAATAGAAGTAGATATAATTGAAACTCTATGGTCTTCAAAACCATCAGGGTCCTCTCAAGTTTGATTTTGCTCTAGATTTGGATCTAGTTGTTGGGCTACTTTTATGTGCCGCATCAAATTACTTTTAAGTAAATATATGCTTCAAGCTTTTATTATCGGTGAAAATCTCATAATAAATATTAATCATATGTAAACTTGAGCTTATCAATACAAAAATTATTGCTGCTAGTTCCAAGTCATGAATAAGGTAGTTCTTGCCATCACCTTATGCTGTCTTAAGGTATAAGCTATCACTTTATTGTGTTATATTCTAACGCACCTCAAAACTAGAAGTGAATTATCTTTATAGACATGAAAACTATTAGTGATAGAAAGAATGATGTAGATAATAGATGATATTAAGTAATTCTTAAGCTTCTAAAAGCTTTGTTTATTAGTATTGAATGACACGACAAACTTTTAGGCTGATTGATGCAAAGGTATAGCACATCTTATATAATTGCCGACTATACTAATAAATTATATATTTTTTTGTAAATAATGCTTAGTTGACCTTTAGAGTATCAACAAAAATCTTAGCTCCAATAAAAGTATGTTTTGACAAAAATCATAGCTTGAAGATAAAATCAACATTTAGAGAATTTCACATAGCGCCTATTCTGTTTAGCAATATTTTATTTGCTTTAAGCTATTGGGCGTATTCCTCCACTGTCAAATTAGATCGTGATAATGATTACAATAATACATGGACTAAATAAGATTTGATGGCTCTGTTCATAAGATTCATTAAGCAGCAGGAGCATTAGCCAGTTTGAAAGATATTAACAATAATTTTTAATGACCAGGGTTTTAAATGTAGTGGGGAGTTTTTCACTATTTTTTAATGTAACTTGGTGGTAGTCAGACTAAAGTTCGATATCATAAGACTTTAAAGAAACTTATAATTTTTCAAATAAATCATCTATACAAGTAGAGGATATATGTTTTTCATGATCACTTTATTCAACTGTTTATGGTTTATGTATAGCCTCATACTTTTATAGTTCTTTACAAACAAGGCTGATGCTCTCTAAGTTGAAATATTAGGTTAAATTCTTTATTTAGCAGTTCTTGCAAATGAACATTGAGTGTCTTGAGTTGAACGATCACCATGCAATTTGATGCCTTGAAAATCGGAGTGGTACCCAAAACTAGATCTATCATGAACTCGATCTTATGATCAAGGGGTGAGTTAGATAAATCTTCAAGAAATATATTGGCAAAATATTGAACATGGGCATAGCTCAATTAATACTATGTTTGTTGGTGTTCGATATAAATTAATATAATTAAAACACCTATGAGGGACCATCTTTTCATACTTGAAGTGTTGATATTAGATAGGATAATGTCACCGTGACATCATTAAAATTGAAAGAGACTATACGGGGCATACAATGGTCACTTTTCTTTTGTGATGGTCTATAATTGCATTGTAGCTAGAGAGCTAGTCTATATCTAATATTACATTTAACTTAGCTAATAGGAATAAAACAAGTGTAGCAACCATATGCACATTTTTAGCAATAATGTCACAGCCATGAACATATTGAGTAACTATCATAGACAAATTAGATAATATATTAATAAATGTTATTGTAATTGAAAAAAATAATGCTTTTGATGCAATTTTATCTAATATGAATGAATGCAATGTCCAAGAATTAAATAAAGTTCTTTTTGGTTAATTAGAAGTAGAAATTTTACAATTCACCACATCAAGAGCTTCATGAGCCTCTTGTTGTTTGATGATGAATACACAAGGTGAAATTGCTTGTTTAGGTTGCTTTTTGGTTTTTCGACCATGTTGACTGATATTGTATCTTGTATTATTGTTGATATGACATTGGATTTTGTTATTATTGATATTGCAAGGTAGGAGGATGTTGTTGAGATGGTTGGGGCACCATAAATTATTGTGGTTGTTAATGAGGTTAGAGATAATATTGCTTGGCATATTTTTTGAAATTTTATTTTTGATGTTGTCCTCTATTAGATTTATATCATCTATTTTTTATGTTAATATTTATTTGTATTCTCTTTTGCAACTGTTAGAATGGCTTGTTTTTAAATTTTAAGAGGGCAACCCTTGGTTTAATGATTGATACGATAGCAATTGAAGCACCTGTCAGTATTCAAACTACAAAGTCTTGAATGTCATTTGCCTTAGTGAGGATAATAACTATAGTTCTTTAATTTCTTTTTGATATTATTGTAGGACCCTCCATTTCCTTGTACATCTGTATTTTTTAGCTTCCAACTATTTTGCCTTCTCAAACATTAATCTGAAGGTAATGCATCTGACAATGGATAAACACTTTTTGATATCCTCTCCTAGACTGAAAAGCTATAAATTTTCTAATCTCCATGCCGACCAACAGATGGCACTTATCTGACGATATGGAGTAATTGCGTCTTATAATCTTGAATAGTCTTTAATCGGCAGTGCTTGAACTATTATTTGTGCCAATGAATCCAACATTCCTTCTCCTAAATATTAATTTGTACAAATCAAACGAAGAAAATTCAAAATAGGATAAATAGGCAATTCCACATAATATAATAGAATAAAATAATAAGAAAAAGATTTAGAAGAATTTATGTAAACGAGATTTTCTAAAACCTAATAGTGGTGTCGAACAAACTACATTATTATCTTAAAATATTGAATAAAATATTATTCCTGAAATGTTTTTTATTTTGTGGTAATGGTCTACTAATAGACCTGGTAAAACTTATTATTAAAAATGTTTTTAAATGGGTGAATTTGATAAATCAATTCCAACAAGTAATTCTTATTTATTAAAATATAAATGAGAAGCCATTGGAGCATACAACATGAACAAATTAAGAAGCACGATTTATTATGTAATAGCAATGTACAAAGTGCCATTAAATTATCGGATTAGATTAATATTTCGCGGTGTAAACAAAATACTATAAATATTTCGAGATAAATAACAGTGACGATGTTTAGTCATTTGTATGAAAATCATGAGCAATACATTTCCATACTATTATATTTGTGTGCAAACACAGTAGGCATATTCAAAGATGATTTATCAGTCTCTTATCATATCACCTTTATAATTATATACTATAGTTAGTTTTACGAAAACTCTCTGAAATAAAAAAGGGGACCACTAACCCATGAAAATTCAGCTATTCTTAGAATTGTTGTCACTAAATGGACCCATTGGATCATTTAACCAATATTCAAAAGGGCTTTAAAGACTTGTACATCTATGGAAAGCATGAATACATATATTATATGTTTTACATAAATATTCAACATATTTTTGGTGATTGAGATGAGCGGGTATTGATAAAAACATTATTTGCATGATAAGATTATTGCATTCGACTAAATCAATCCATGACAATAAATCTTACTCTGATAAGAATCATTTTAAACTTTTTGCAACGAAGAAGGCAAAAATTATATCTCAAATATATATTTCATCATGCTCATTAAATGAGATTTACTAAAATATGTATATGAATGGCTTATTATGAAAGATAGAACTGACAACCTTTAAAAAAATTTAATTTAACTAATCTAAACATGACATAACTTAATTGATTGAAAATCTTAAGTCAATAATCTTAATCGATCTATAATTGTTTGATACCTTAAAAAATATTAGTTAGAGAACAAGGGCTTGACCAATGATAGTATCACTGGAAAGGAGTTGAAATCACAATTGATGTAATAATTGAGTGAAATGCAACAAAAGAGTTGGCAAGAATTATGGATATTTGCTGTTTGGAGTTGAGAAGAGGGAGGAAGAGGAAAGCCAGAGAAATAAACAAAGGCGAAACTCAGTATTGCAGGAGGAAGGAACCAGGGTTGAGTGCAATCTCTTAACACCGATCATTAACTCACAAGTTAGTTTCAGGTTTATGTGTGAAGATTGCAGCTTGAGGTGGGGAGAATCAAGCGATAACTTTAATCACCACTTTGTAAGGGTAGTTATTAAAAAAGTTCATTCACATATCACGAATAACTTGTGCTCATCTCGTTAAGTAACTCTTATTCAATTTGTTCGTTAAATAAGCAAGCCGAACACTATCATGTTTAACTCTTTTTGACTCAAACTAATTAAATGATTAAAAAATAATATTTATTATAATTATTTTATATTGATTTTTGTTATGCCAGCTAAATTCAAGCGAAACACAAGCTGTAACAAATAAAAAAATTCAAATTGAACCTAACACGAGCAAGGATTGGGCCAGCTTAAGCTCAGCTTATTTATTCCACTATTCATGAGAAGAGTGGTGAAGTCTGGTCAAGTCAGCTGAGTTTCGTTTTTTTAAGAGTTATAAGATTCCTTTTTCTACACATTGATTGTGGTTTGAGTAGTTAGGTTCGGCGAAGAGCACCAAAGTGATAGGGATACTTGTATAATGTTGTGTAAGGTTAAAAATGGAGAGCAACATTTGAAGAGTAAGAGATATAGGCCAATTGAAAAGTGGTTGAAATACAATATTATGCTGCATGTTGGTTTGAAAATTTTATTTTTTGTTCCGTCCCATTGTATGGTTGATTAATGCGGTGCACAGTTTGATGAGCATAAGGATCAGGTTTCAGTTGAGCAAATTCTGAAGGTGCTGTTCTTAGATGCTGAGCGCCCGTGTACAGTAAGCTTGTATCCTACTCTTGTATATTTTTATCTTCTTCTGCCTTAGCCTTTTAAATGATGGGAATTCACACTTCTAATGAAGCAAATGGAGAAACTGAAGCGCCAGCTAGCAGATGCCGAGACTGCTCTTGAAGCACGCAAGAAACCGGCCGAAGACTCAGGTGCACGTGTTGTAGGTGAAGGCCTTGTCATCGATGAATGGGTAAATCATTTCACATTATCTTATTGTAAATATATATATATATATATATATATAAATTTATATATATCTTGATGCACACACACACACACACACAGACACACACAAACACACTGTCTAGATATATATATATATAAAAATTTCTTAAAAATACACTTAAATATATAGTTATATATATATATATATATATATATATATATATATATATATATGGATATTCTGTTTGTTTAATAATTTGATGTGTGAGTCCATGGCATCATTTTTTGAGGGCAGAAGGAAAGGAGGGAGAGATATCTTGCTCAACAGCAGGTTGAAGGGCCAGTTGAGTCAGTATAAAGAGTATGCCACTCCAACATTATGTTGAAGATTTTCTTGGAAGTGTTTTAGAGGCTTGGTAAAAGTAAATATTATTCTATGCTGTCTAAATCTGTGAAGCATTTGGAACATTCATTAACCATGATCTTTGTAAGTAACTGCATATGTTTATTATTAAGAGAAAACTACAAGTTATGTATATGTGCTTCGAACTTATCATATTCAGTAAAACTTTTGTATCTAATGTTTAAGGAGATTTGAAGTTAATTATGCAATTAACCTGTCATTGGTAATATTTCTCTTTGTTTGGGCAAGTTTCCACATCTTTTGTTCCACCTGAATCATGATGCTAAAACCACAATATACAAGGATATTTGGTTGTTGAAGAATTTTAAAGGGCCGAGTTGGGGCACTATCTTAATTTGAAAAAAGAAAATTACCCACGTCTGGCTTACCACATTTAGTTTCTACGATCTTACTACAATCTCTCTCACACACACACAGATAGATATATATATATATATCTATCTATCTATCGATATGTTGTGTATATGTAGATGTGTATACATAGATGTTATAATGGATGTAGTATATATGTATATGTTGTGTATGTATGCTGTTCAGGTGGTGAGAAACTGTGTAGTTTACCTATACAAAATGATAAAATATAAAAGATTCCCCAATATCTCCTATTCCTACCCCACCGAGAGTGTAACTCCTCTTCAAATTTGTAAGGTAATCTTTAAACCTTCAATGTCTCACACTGTCAAAATCAATACAAATGGAAGCTTCACTAAAATGGGTGCTTGTGTGGGAGGAATTTTTAAAAACCACCTTGGCCAATGTCTACTATACTTTCATACCCCAGTTTTGGCTGTTGATGCTATTGAGACTAAACTAATTGTTGTGTATTGGGCATTAAAACTGGCTACTAAGGCAAGATGGATTCACCTATGGGTAGAGGTGGATTCTACTGTGGTGACTAATCTTATGGATTCTGAGGAACTGCCTCCCTGGCATCACACACATTGGATACAACAGATCAAAATGCTCACCTCCCAACTCAGTGCCAAATTTACCTTTATCTACAGTGGAGGAAACAAACCTGCACATTGGTTAGCTAGATTTGGACTCAGCTCTAATACTCTTTGTCTTTGCCTCCCCCCCTCCACTCCTTTTCCTACTGCATGGAGATCTGATAGATGTCCCCCATTTCAGAGTTGCTGGCCACAACACACTCAGGAGATAGCTACTTTGCTGAAGATTTTTTATTTTTGGGTCTCTTTCTTGAATGTTGGCCTTTGTTATTTTGAGGCATTTTCCTTTTCCTTTTCTCTTCTTTCTCTTACACTAGCTGTGATGTTTTGTGTGGGGTGGTGGTACAATAGGATTGTTTTGTCGGGGTACTTTCTTTCCCCCTTCTTTTGTAATCCTTCTTAAGCTTACATGTAGGGAGCCATGAGCAGCTCCTTTTTCCAAAAAACAGATATCTGCTGGGTTGGTGCCTCTTAGGGAGCTTCAAATACTTTTAAGGGGAGATCTGTTAGATCTACCTTACATATATGATTGACATATACTGCTTCAATGGATGTTTGGTTGTTTTAGTATTTTCCTACTGCCTTTTGGGTTTTATCTTATTGAGGAGCTCTTATTTGTTTTTTTATTTTCCCCAGTCATCTATTCTCTAGCACTCTGTTGTGATCTGGTGGCTGTGCTCCCGTGCTCCCACAGACTTTGCTAATGGCTGCTCATCCTCCTTTCGTGCATTATTGTTTCGACATTTACTCTATCCTCTGCATCAAACTTTTTATGAAATACTACAATGCTTTGTTTTCTCTTATCTTTGATTCTGTACTATTTTAATTTTTACACACGCACACAGACACACAAATGTATATATATATA